GTTTAGAACGCCTTTTGTCCCACAAAACCTAACACAGTCATCATCATCTGCTTCTTTGATGATGCCATTGATGGGACCGTACTTTGGTCGCTCCAATTCTCAACCGCAGTTTATAGGGAATAATAATAATCCGGATGTTGTGGCTGGTCCAAGCTCGAGTTTTCGAGTCATTGATCCTCCTAGACGACGCCATTCCGGCATTTGGTTCCTCCTTCAAGCTTCTCAAAACCAGTAAGTGATACATATCTAACTTCTTATAGACAATGTTATGTAAGGTCCATAATTTATTGATTACAAAAGAAAAGTTCAAAATTTATAACAAATCGGATTTGCAAGATTCATATCCTTGGTTTAATCATTAGGTGTTTCTTTACGACTAAATCTTATAAATTTTAAGTTCTTGGTTTTGTCTTTGGTGAACGTTTTAGGACAGTAGAGCCATTCTTGCCTCAGATACCCAAGAGCTACTTGAGAATCAAGTAAGTACTACTAGGATTCCATCATGTTTCATTATTTATCCAACTAGCTAGCTAATTAATAAGAACTATACATAAAACGACGTTAATTTTTTATCCAAAGGTTTAGTTATGGCTAATTATTTTTGGTGTTCTTGGATTTGGTAGGGACGGGAAGATGACTGTTCGACTATTGATGAAATATTTGGTGAATAAGTTGCGATTGGAGCACGAATCCCAGGTTTTTTTTCTCATCTCAATCACATCTCTTTTAAATTTCCCTTTCTTGAACTTTATTTTTCTAGATTCCATGTACACGTTGCTTGCCGTAACTACAATCTCCTTAGGTTTTCCTTAAAAAAAATCAAAGAAAATCTAAAACGTTACATAAATTCCTTTTAAGCATAAAAAGATGATGAAAATGGTACGATAATAAAATAGAAACATATTAGTAAAAGAAAAGACGAAAACGTGGAAATGGTATATTCATGGGGGTTGGTGTACTGAGGAACATGACAGTAACATCGCAGCTAAATTGCCACAAAAGTGTCTCCATGTTAATTAGGTCACAAGTAGATGTCGTTGCTAGGTATAAGCTGTTCTGCTCTTTCTTTGTTTTTATATGCTTAATTATCCATAAATTGATTTATAACCTTTTCCGACTTTTTGTCTTATTTGTTCCTTTTTATAGTTCAGGGGTAATTGATTAACGGTCGATCTATTAATTAGTGCCTAGCGTGATCATATTCTCATTAGAGATGAGTGCACCCTTTTAATTCATTTCTTTTT